AAAAATCCAATACAATATAACTTCAAATGAATATATGTTTATAATTAATTAAACTGCATAATAGCGATTCATTATCATTGAATATCAATTATCAGGGTAAGATTACTTTTAACAAAAACGAATTTGTACATTCTTACGTTATCAATGTCAAACATGTTGAATATCCCTCTCAAGAAATTGACCACTTCGCTTGTCATTTCCAGAGTCTGCAGAAAAAAGCTGGCTTTATTACTTCACCAACGTTCCATCATTCCATCAATAAAGATATTATATTCCTGCATGAAGCTACTAATAGAAGTTCCAGAACACTACTGAAGAAATAATAAAAGTATTGGTGCTAATGACATAAGTGTGCAAGGCTGTGAACTAAATATATAATAATAACACAACAGCAAAATCAGCGAAAATCACTGACCATAAACGGCTTTAACAAGCACCAAAAGTAGAACAAATTCAGTTTTAACATAAAAACACACTGATACACTAGATTAGTGTTTACAATCCCTCAATCCATTGGAAGTACAATGACGGATATCAAAATGGATAGATTGGAACAGGACAAAGACATAGATAAATAAGTAATATTGACATTGAAAGATTTGTATTAATCATAAAACAAAACAAGCATACTTGATCAGGAGCTCTTTTAATTGGCATTGCAATGAGATCATCCCTAAGCTTGATGTCATTGTCGTAACCAAATTTCCTCAATACAGTCCATGTAGTTTCCAAACGACCTTTTTCAATAAAGAGGGCATGAAGAAAAAGGAACCCAGTCAAGGTAAGACCGCTTTCATTTACGCCTTCAGGCATCTTCTCCTGAACAACTCTCTTAACTCCTGAAATTTCAGTAGGCTGCAGAGGAGCACTAAAGCATCGGACCTGTAAAGCAGTAAGAAAAGAACCTCAGCAACACTAGAAACAAATGAGTATATGATTAAGTAGTTACGTTGTATGCTGCTCGATGGAAAGAAGGGTAGCATTCATGAACACAAACCTGGAATTCATTGAGCTCCACATCACTGAGAGCACCATCCTTGTCATTATCACATATAATAAATATCCGCTTCAGCGCTCTAACACATCGAGGCTTCAGAGATTGTAACTCTTGATCAAAGAGCGGCGCAGTCGGGTGAAGTACTGCCTTCTGGGCATAGTAGAAGACCTCAGGCACCTGCCAAAAAATAAAGTCAACATCCATAATTATTAATCAGAAGAACTTCCAGATGCCAAAGAATTTTAACACACTAGACACACACTGTTCATGTCTGGAACACTACAGGCCTTATTCTAATGTATCTGACAAAAGTTCAGATATCACTAAGGCAAGTATGAGACATTTGGGGTACAAATACCAAATCAAGTATAATAAGATGCGGGGTAACCTGGATCTGCCGAAGAGCGGAGCACTCAATGCAGGTCTCGATCTCGCGGAAAGACTGCATGATGGGCGCCATAACCTGCTCAAGGCTAACCTGCTGTTCGTCCCTCAGGTCCAGCTTGCACCCCACCACAATAACTGGAGCCTTCAACTGCATCACACAAATCAGACAAGACAAATCACAATGGGGCAACCCAGGAGAGAATCAACCGCAAGCGATCTAGACCTAAACCACGAAGCCCCGACAGGCCGTATCGAGAATCGCGGCAATACCTGGAGTCGCCGGAGCTCGGGAAGCCAGAACGAACTGAGCCGCTCCAGCGTGGCGGGCCGGTCGCAGGCGTAGGTGAGCACGACCGCATCGGCGGCCTGGCACTCGGCGATCAACTTCGGCTTCTGCTCCGGGCTGCAATCACAGGGACGCGCAAAATCAACTCAACGCCAGGTATCCATCCATCCCGTCAAGATCTAATGGAATCCGAGATGCGCGGGAGGAGGGGGCGCGGGGGAGTACCTGGACGACGTGTCGATGATGGTGATGGGGACGCGGTCGGGGAAGTAGTCGGCGGGGAGGCGGGTTGGGGGCATGACGCGGGGCACGTTCTCGGGAAACTGCTCGGTGGCGAGGGCGACGATGAGGCTGGACTTGCCGGTGCCGGGGTCGCCGATCACGACGACCCGCACGCCCGACTTGCCCGCCAGATTCGCGGCCGCCGCCGGGGACGTCGCACCCGCCATGCCGCGCGCCTCCTGTCTCTCTCCCCCCTCGCGTCTTCTCTCTCCCCCCTCGGCTTAGGGTTTTGCGGGATTTGGGCGCTGGTGCGGCTGAGCGTGTGGCGTCGGCGTCGTATGTCAGCGGGTGGGGTCGGAAGGGTGGGCTGGTCCTGTCTTATTGGGACGCGTCGGTTGCTTCGGCTTGGAGCGGAAGAAAAGGGAAAACAGGGGGAAAAAAGAAAAAAGGGACGTAGGATTGGTTGGGTCCTCATCCAAGGAGGATGGATGGATTGGGCTCGTTGCCTAGGCGAGTGAAAAACTTGGCCACTGCAAAAGCCCAATGCCAGCCCTTGATGGACCACCACCGAGTGGGCAGCCCCGCACAGTGCGGTTCCTATTGAAATACATGTGCTGTTTAAACTTGTATGTAGTTCGAAATGAATTTTTTAAAAGATACATTTGACCTCCCACCCTCGCGAAAGTTTGATTTGCCTCCTCTAATGAGAAAATTGGTTTTTTCTTTCATCATCCTCATCAATCTGTTGAAACTATCCAATTTTCCTCGCTTCGGCAATTTTGACGGGCGGTTTTGCCCTATGAAGCGTCATGTGAGAATGATATTTTTTTTGTTTGACTATGTTGGAGTTGGTAGTTTAAGGTGGTCAAATAGGCTTTACAGAACATATATAGATATAATTTTAAAAAATATATATCTAAATACTTTTAAACACATGCAATTGAAAATCTCAAATTCTATTTAATCTTATAACATTTGTATAGTTTTGTTTTGGCTTGGAGAAATATGAAACCAAATTCAGATATGTCCTAAAATCATGCTCTATCTTATAGTACCTAGCATGAAATTATATGAATCTTGTATGGTCTTTTTTTGTGTGTTTTGACAGGAAATTATATGAATCTTTTTTATGGTTGCAAAATTCAGGTACCATAGGGAAACTGTATGGTGATTGGACGTGAGTAGAGATATCATAAGCTTAAGAAAAAATCAATTTGAATTTCACGAGGACCCATGAACTTCTGATGATGATGGTAAATATAAGTCAACATAAGTTTATCCTAAGTCAATTTTATGAACATTGACCATTAGCGTTCTAATTTTATATACACTAACAACACAAGAAATATCATACTCCCTCTGTCCTTAAATATCTATCGTTTTCGCTTTCCCAAGAAACAACTTTGACTAAATATATATTAAAAAATATTAATATTCATGGTACATAATTAGTATCATTGGAAATGTCTTTGAATTTAGTTTTTTAATAAATTTATTTGGAGATACAAATATTACATGTATTTTCTACAAATCAAGTCAAACTTGTGGCACGCACACCAACGGCGACAGTTATTTAGGGACAGAGGGAGTAAGAAACATTACTTGCGCGCGCGTGTGTGGTAGAGCTGGCTTAGCTCGTCCATGTAGAATGGATTTTCTTGACGGGGTGCGCGAATTTCAACAAATTATGTAAAGGCCCCGTTCGCGTGCTCTTAAACCCGGCTTGATCCGCTTTTTTTTTATCCGGAACAGTGTTTTTCTCTCATAAATTCCTCCATCATTCCTCCAAATCATCCAAATTTCTCCAGAATTCCTCCAAACGAACAGGCCCAAAGTAGAAAATATCACTATCATGCTCTTACCAAATAAGAGAAGCCGATAATAATAAGCAAAATAGCATTATACGACACAACCAACACGCTCGTTAGGATCATTCTCATGCGTTGCAACGGGAACAAAATAATATCCGAGCACATCAGTGTGGCCCGAGCGGCAGCCAAAGTCAAGATCAACGTACACGCAACACTTTGTCCACTGAGCTCTGTTGGCAATAAAATTTGAGGTTTTCACTTAAAAGAAAATAGATTTGAGTCTTAATGATTTTTTTTGTGAAAGTGTAAACATCTCTAATAGAAATGGTTGTCTAACAACAAAGTAATATTCTAATCTAACATATGAAACAAGTTGCAATTGGACCCATAACACCAAACAAATATGAAACAAGGTATGTCCAGTTGTAGAGACATGCTAATTTCAGTTACAGCCCTTTTCGGAACAAAATAATACCCGGTCACATCAGCGTGGGCCGAGCGGTAGCCAAAGTCAAGATCGACGTACACACAACACTTTGTCCACTGAGCTATGTTTGCAATAAAATTTGAGTTCTTCACTTCAAATGAAATAGATTTGAGTCTTAATGATTTCTTTGTGAAAGTGTAAGCATCCCTAATATAAATGGTTGTCTCACTCATAGAATGTTGAAATCAAAGTAATATTCTAAATTATCATATGAAACAAGTTGCAATTGGACCCATAACACCAAACAAATATGAAACAAGGTATGTCTAGAGACATGCTAATTTCATTTAGAGCCTTTTTCGCAAGTCAAAGGCATTATCTCAAGCTCACTTACAACATTTATGGCAAATCAAAGTAATATAGATGATAACAAATAGTGCCAATATTTTATGTTAGACATGCTATTGGTCATGAAGTATGCAAGATTTTTTTTTAAAGTACATACATATACACTCATTAATTAGCATACCTTTAGATTTTTTACTACTTTTGCAACTAGGCCGTCTGGGTGACAACGTTGTCACACCCGAGTCGGTGGCGCGACAGGATGGCCCCATCACACGCCACAACAAGCTCGGATCAGTGGTCCACACCAGCGTTGCTCCCCTTGTCGCACGCATGTGACATGACAATATGATGCTCGCGCGACAAAAGGGTCAGATTTGCTTATTCTTTTTTAGTTTTATATAATAATAATAAAATAAATAATATATAATAATATATATAGATAGCCATAGAGATTGAGATTGACAGTCAACGCGCGTGCACCGCCAAGCGGCAGAAATCCAACGTAGCCACGTGGGTGTCGACATGGCCACATGGGTTTCGCCGCCGTCGCGGTCGCGAGCCGATAGAACTGGGACGCCAGACGCGCGCGAGTGGTGCTGGAAGTGGTGCTGGGTACGTGGACGGCTGCGACTCGCCCATACGAAACGCCCGGTGCGGCGGCCTACTTCACTGGGCACTGGCCCATGTGCCACATGCGCCCGCTCCACCTAGATTCTGACAACGCCTCCCCAACTTGCTCGCCCCCGCAGCGACAGCGCGCACTTGGATTCGGCGACCGCCGGAGCGCGGAGGGGGCAAGCGCCGATCCAGAGACGATGGCCGCCGCGGGCTCCTCGCCGTCGTCGTCCTCAAGCAAGCGGTGTGTGCCCTGCTCTTTACTTCATCCCCTCCCTCCATGGCTCGTGCCGTCCCCTGCTGCTCCACTCCCCCGTCCATGGCTGCTCCACAGCTCGGTTGCTGTTGCAGTTGAAAGGGAGCTTGTTAAAAACAAGACCGATTATGCAAGATCTCGATCAAAGTTTCCACTTTTTGCTGCGAAATGCGATGAATCGGATCCACCCAGCCAAAGGGCTGTGCTCTTTCTGGTGGAATGTGATGCAATGGCTGAGAAGCTGTGCTTGTCTTTTAGTGAGCCAGCTGTTCTCCCTCTCCCTTTTTGGGAGGAAATTGTGTGCCAAGTGTATCCTTAACCATTCTACTATTCCAGACTTCCAGTATATATCGGCATACAGTCGATCGGGGTATTGTTCATGCGCACCAGCCATGAGGTTTATATAGGATTTAGAAATCTTTCATGAATCTGAGACTAAATCCAGTTGCAATCTCATATTAGTGTACGGAGCTGCTTCATCCGGTAGGCGGTAGCTGTGTTTTCGTTGTTCAAATTTGATCGTGCGTTTCTTCCCGAAGCACAGGTTGGAAGGGAAGGTGGCCCTCGTCACCGGTGGCGCCACCGGCATCGGCGAAGCCATCGTTCGCCTCTTCATGGAGCACGGCGCCAAGGTCTGTGTCGCGGACATCCAGGACGAAGCCGGGCAGCAGCTGCGTGACGCCCTGGGAGGCGACGCGCAGGGCGTCATGTTCGTCCACTGCGACGTGACGTCGGAGGAGGACGTGAGCCGCGCCGTGGACGCGGCGGCGGAGCGGTTCGGCGCGCTGGACGTGATGGTGAACAACGCGGGCGTGACGGGCACCAAGGTGACGGACATCCGTGCCGTGGACTTCGCCGAGGCGCGCAGGGTGCTCGACGTCAACGTGCACGGCGTGTTCCTGGGGATGAAGCACGCGGCGCGCGTCATGATCCCGCAGAAGCGGGGCTCCATCGTGTCGCTGGCCAGCGTGGCCAGCGCCATCGGCGGGATGGGCCCGCACGCGTACACGGCGTCCAAGCACGCCGTGGTCGGGCTCACCAAGAGCGTCGCCGCGGAGCTCGGCCGCCACGGGGTGCGCGTCAACTGCGTGTCCCCCTACGCCGTGCCCACGGCGCTGTCCATGCCGCACCTGCCCCAGGGCGCGCGCGCCGACGACGCGCTCAAGGACTTCCTCGCCTTCGTCGGCGGCGCGGCCAACCTCAAGGGCGTCGACTTGATGCCCGATGACGTCGCCCAGGCGGTGCTCTACCTGGCCAGCGACGAGGCGAGGTACGTCAGCGCGCTCAACCTCATGGTGGACGGCGGCGTCACAGCCGTCAACCTTAACCTCAAACCGTTCGAGGAGTAGCTCAGCTTGTTAGCAGCATTATTATCACTCTTGTTCTGCTGCTACTCTGAGTGAGATGTGGCTTGTTGTAAGGAGTGTCCGCAAGACTAATACGGCCTGTTCGTCGGTTGGTTTCTGGGCTGATAAGCCCGGCTGGTGCTGATTTGTTGTGAGAGGAAAACACTGTTGGCTGGCTGATAAACACTAACTGAAACCAACAAGCGAACAGACTAAACCGCATCATGTTACATGTAGCGAACAGATGATTGGACATTCTAAGTATCAATGCCGAATTCACGTATATGGTTGCTGAATGTGCTAACAAATGAATTTTCAGCAGTGCCTAAACAGGCAGGCAGAGTGATCATAGAAACTTTCACCATGCACCACGCAAAGAGAGATAAAAAACTGCTTTCTCCAGCAGTTGGAAAAATCATGTCGGTACATCATCAGTTCATCACACAAGCATTAACCAACAATTTCTTCACAATAGATGTAAATATTAATATTAACATTAACATAGCATATGTGATATGTGTATCCCTAAACCCGTGGTCTACATGCGGATTTGCGGTCAACTCATTTGCATCGGTACATATATGCTACCCATGATCTTTAAATACAGCAAGTACAATTTTCCTGTGCAGCGTTGCTGTAGTGAGCATGCTATATAATGACCTTTCAAAATCAAGAAGAATCTAATCATCAGCTGAAGGTTGACGCGAAACTACAAAATCATCATTATCAAGTGAGTGATTGCTCGAGTCAGGAGCATCCTTGTTATCTTCAGCACAGTCAGACCCTGAGATGGCGTCACAAGTTGTCACATATGCTTCGGCGCAGGAGCTTTCGGCCAATTCAGTTACACTGTCATTTTGAGCCTGCAGGGCATCTCTTTTCACAATGTTAAGCAGGATACCGTTAGTAGTGCTTTCGGGCTGCAGCAAATCACCTTCAGAAACAGCGATGCTTGTGGGAGTAGGAGCTTGACTGGCTCTGGTGTTGACAGTGTTGCATGCCTCGGTCTCAGAATTTTCTGTGCATCTACCTGGCGTAGTAACACTTGAGCTATTGTTCGGTCGTGGATCGTTTGGGAAGGTATTCTGACGAAATACCTGCAGTACCACCCTCCACAGTACAGGGCCTACTTAATTCCGTGTCAATCTCAAGGTTATGGATGAAACTGATGAACTTGTCAGCAGATGCTGTCCTCATCAGAGGCCCACCACTCCTGGTCCAGGAATTAAGGTCAATGGTTTCTGATTCGCTCTCACTTCCGTCATGAGAATTGCACCGAACATGGTGAGAAAGAGCTGGTGTGCCGACAATAAGAGCAGCACCTTGCTGCGTGGATGAAGTAGCAACAGCAGAAATCTCTTCTGAGAGAGATTCTGAAGAATTCTCTCGACTGATGCAGCTCCATGACGGTACCCTCCTTGGAGTTCTCTGTCGAACATAGTTAGAATGACCCTGGGAAGCAGCTGCTGTCCTTTCAATGCTTTCTTTTTAGCCTCCGTTTGTGGTTTAACACTGCTATAGATTCATCCAATGCAAGTTCAATGGCACAGTTTGCTCTGATTGCAGAGAGCTTCTCCCATGTGCACCTGCGGCCTTGGTTGGCAGCCGTTTGGAGTTCCGCATATGTTGGATTCTGAATAATCTTCAAGTACTGAAAGTTGGAGAGGTGTGAGGGAAAATTCTTGAACTCAAGTGTTTGTATTTTTCACCTATATAACCTACTAGGAACTCAGAATAATACCTGAGCTACTGTTGCTGGCATAACCATGGTGACATCACCCTCCCAGTCCTGAGCAAACAATTTTGCAAGTCCTCCCATTGGAAGACCAATCTCTAGGATTTGGTTACATCGATACTTAACCTCCATCTCAGCAAGACGAGCAAGCTACACAGATCAGATCAATGTTATGCCTGGTAAAAGCTTATATAGCAATTTGACTTTAAAATAGAGAATTCTAACACAGTGTTCAAGAAATATACAAAACCAGCAGGGTTAAACAAAACACATGCACAAGTGTTTTCAGTAGAAATACGGAATATTTGCTGGATATCCACCATTAATTATTTTCATTAAGTCCTATCATAGTACTGAATAAACTCTTCAATCCCACCAGATACTGCCTATATGCAAGAGATGATAACCATGAATAGTCTAGCAGCATGTGTGGAATTGCTTAAGATGAAATACTATTGAAGAAAAATAAAATAACTATCTGCAACAAGAACTACAGGCCTGCATTCTAACATACTTCCTCCGTCCCTAAATAACTGTTGTTTTTTGTTTCCGTGCCGTCAGTTTGACTACATTCGTCGAAAATGCGTGCAGCATTTGTATCTCCAAATAAATTTATTATGAAAACAGATTCAACGATCTATCTAATGATTTTAGTTATGTACCATAAATATTAATATTTTTTATATAAAATTAGTCAAAGTTATTTCTCGAGAAGCGAGAACGACAATTATTTAGGGACGGAAGGAGTAAACCACTGTCATATGCTATGAGACGAATAACATAGCTAAAGGTCCCTAGTCCCTACTCAATATGGTCACAAACATACCTTTTCCAGCAAAGCGGCCTCCATAGGCTCTAACAAGCTCTTTCATTCGGAGGAGTGGAGAAATGTGTGGATTAGTTTGGCTCACAATGAAATGACTCACATTAAACAACTCCTTGAGTCTCATCATGGGCAGATCCATTTCCAAGCTCCCGTCTCTCCACCGGCGCTTCGATGCTCCAGGGCCTAGTTCAGGATCTGTGGCAAAGGGTGCATGGAAGGGGACTATGTTGCCGAATCTATCCTTTGCCATCAGTTCCTGAGCTTCAAAGAGCCCAGGAAATGCACAAGAGGCAGTTACTGCACTCCAAATAACAACGTGCGGTGACATCAGGTAGTTGAGGCAGCGGGGTGGCTCATTTTTTCTAGGAGAGCAAACAGTGATCCCAAGGACACGACCAGTCATGTCATAAGCCTCTTGAAATGTTAAGTTACCTGTGAGATTCCTCAGAAGCCTTTGCATCTGGCTAATGTCATGCAGTGCACCATAAGTGGTGACACGCCTCATCACTGCAAAAATTCCACCTATCCTATCAAAGAACTGCAAGGTCTGTAATGAGTCTGTGAAGAAGCTCTCAATCTCAGGCCATGTTCGGGTAGCAACAATCGAACATATAATGGAACCAACGCTTGATCCTGCTATAATCCGAGGCAGAAGTTTATGCTCAACCAATGTTTTCACAACACCTACATGGAAAGACCCCAGTGAAGCACCCCCGCTTAAGAGTAGCGCTGTCCTCCCAAAGGCATGCCTGGTCTCCTGAACAAAGGCAAGCTTCTCTTCCAATAGCAACTCATCAGAGTCAGATTCACACACCATTCTTAGTTGAGTAGAAACCTCTTCAATGTATTCCTTTATAAGCTTAGGAACCTGCATTGCGACAGATCAGCTGTGTTACTAGTATGACAGTGATGCTGAATTCAGAGTTTCAGCGATCTTTGGTAGTGCTGGATTTCTTGTTGTAAGTAAGAGGTGATTCTGAATTTTTCAAGACCATCACAATTTACAAAACATCAGCAAACAGATATATCCTATGAATCAGCAGAGTGAATGAATTAGTAGAAGCTATAGTTATTTTGTCAGTTACCTCTAGCCGTCCCTTGTGGAGTTCAGGATTGCACATGTTCCCCAAGTTCCTAACAAGATCGCCGCGCATACAGAACACCACTTCCCGGAGCGAACCATCCTCCCTTCGTCTCCGGAGCTCCTCAAGCCGGTTCCTGATGAGCTCCTCGTCATAGAAATCCGCCTCATGGACCTGATCAGACATCTTGTCAAGCACCTTGGCGGCGCGCGCCCAGACCTCGTACGTCCCGGCATGGAGCATAGCCTTCTCGTACTGCCGGCGCCGGCGCGCGAGCGCCGCCCGCGACCGCGCGCCGGAGAGCTTCGTCAGGAAGAGGGCGAAGAGGACGACCATGAGGAGGACACCGTGGGTGTTCCTGAGATGCAGCCAGGACACCGCCACCGGCAGCGCCGCGCTGCGCACGCGCGAGATGGCGGCGTACGCGCGCGCCCGCAGGCGCCACAGCGAGCTGAAGAGGAGCACGCGGAGCGCCACCCCGCGGCCTAGCAGCGTCGACGGCCCGATCCTGAAGGAGCCGACGCTCGCTTCCCCGGACTCGTCCATTGGAAGACGGAGCTAGCGATGTTTGTGAGCTTGGTCAGTAGTAGAAGAAAAAAAAACCCAAAAACCCAAATTGGTTTAATCTCGAGCTGAGCTCTTCAGCACCGATACCAACAGAGCAAACAGTAAGAAATCCCCAATTCGCACCCGTAGGGGCAAAAACTGATGGAACCCAATCAAGTGATCGCCGCCGAAGCCCTGCTGCTACTCAAATCTGAACTAAAAGAATCGGAATTGAGCAGCGCAGGGTGTCGGATCAAGAACAGTCGCGCGCCTCCGATGTCTGCCTCGACTCGGCACGCAACGCATCAAGAAGATGCAACGCGTTGGGGGAGAGAAGTAAAGCCCCAAATTGTGAAAGAAAAAAAAAGGAAAAAGCCCAAGTAAATAAGCAGAAGTTTCCGACAATTTTAGCCGGATCAATCGATCAGAGACCGTGTATATATAGTATTATTAAAAAAGGAAAAAATCTTTGCGTGGAAGCGAAGGGGGATGGGCAGGCGTGGACGCAATGATAAAAAAAATGGCGAGGCGAGGATACGGTGGCGCGAGACGAGTGCGAGAAGCGGATCGCTTGGATGTTCTGTCTCGTCGCCTTTTCCAGTTCTAGACTAGAGGACGAAGAGGATGAGGAAGAATCATGAAACCAGAGAGGGAGGATTTCTTGTTGCTTGCTTCCCGGCTGATTTCTTGCTTGCTTCCCGGCTTTTGTGAGAAGAAGTCGTCTGGAAGGGTGAGAAGGTGGGAGCCGTTTGTGTGTACGGACACTCATCCAGTCAAATACCAACAGCCTTGGCCTGTTTGGCAGGTCTATGATTCTCTGAAGATGGCTCCAGCTCTGACTTTTCTGAAGGAGTGGCTCCTTTAAAAAAGCTAAAATAGTTTTAGAAAATATTTGGCAAAACAGCTCCTCCTATATATTCGAAATGGATGAGATATACCAAATATCCAAAGTACCCATGCGCTTATTATTTGATTTGGTTGTACGCATGAGAAATTAAAATGCATGTAATTTTTTTGAAACAAAAATTGGCAATATTACATTAATTACTCGTAATATTTATCATGATTAAGGTAAACTGTATTTGAATTATTTTTATGTCAAAAATAAGGCTAAACGTTCGGTTTTGGGCCAAGGCTCATACGGCCTGCAGCTGCAGACCCCCTGCTCCCTTCCCTGAGCACCGCACGCCGCCGCCGCGCCGCTCGTTAGCAACTCGCACTGGCCGCCGCCGCATGCACCAGGATGCTTGCACCACCGCTCGCCCTCGCCCAAGCAAGGCTTGCCTTCTTCCACGCCGCCGTGCGCTCCCACGACGCACTTGCCTAGGCCGTCGCTGGCTCGCACAGCGCAGGCGCCCGCACCGCTGCTCGCACGATTTGCCCGACGGTGAAGCACCACGCCGGCGTCGGTTTCGTCTTGTACGTTGTACCCGGGCAAAGAGCATGCAGTGAAGGGCAACCACGTCCATACGTCTGCGACCATCAGGTGGAGCCGCGAGAAGCTTGAAATCGTGGCTCCTCCTTCGCAGTGCAAAAAGGCTCCGGCTCTCCCATGCGCTTCTCCGGTGAAGCCATTTCAAACAATGGTGTTTGGTATGGCTCCTCAGGAGCCGGAGCCGGAGCCCCTCAGAAGCCATACCAAACAGGCTCTTAGTCATCCAGGGGCCAGCTAATATATTCTACGGAGCAGTAATATTTTCTACGAAGTACGTACTAGTGGTATATTTTTTTCCTTTGCTTGTGAAACGAAAACTATTTATAATAAGAACAGAACAAACGAACAATGCGAGTTGCGAGGAAACCAGTGGCATCTTTTCCTCGATGGAGCACACGAGGCACACAGACACTCCATCATCATCCACGAGAGAAGAAGCTTTGTGTTAAAAAAAACGCGCGTGAAAGCAACGACGCAGGAGGTATCGTACTATCGCGTGGTGCAATTAACGTGGTATCGAAATAGCGTTCATGTTTATTGTTTAATTAACACGTGGCTTCATGAAGTCATTTTCAGCTAGGTGGGAGGAACATTGTCGGTCCACGTGCGCAGATACAGTCAGGAAATCTCGTCTTACTTGGGAGATTAAAAAAAAGTCTTATATGAGATAAAAAAAAAAAGGTCCTAGATGATGAATCGACTTTTCCTAAGAGACTAAGACTCAACAATGTGTACAATAATGTTAAAACTAACGAGAATTCCAATGGATCTACTTCTAATAATCCGATCAATAAACCTAGTAGACATAAACATAGGTGGCAAAGGCACAATGCACCCGAAGAGGCACAAAGGTAGTGTGAAACCAAGATTGACAAATGTCATAGATTTGGTGTGTCGTTTTTTACCTCTAACTATTAGTTGAAGTACACGGCACATAGATTTATACTAGTTAAGGCAATGTGTGTTGTACATCAAGTGTATGGTGTTATTGCCCATACGCCATATGTTCGAGTCGGTTGCAAGTAGAGATCACAAGTGTTATGTATTGGGTATCGGCGTGGGTTGCATTAGGTTGGCCATCAACCCATCAGGGACTCCCTGGCCTTTCTTAGGCCCTGTTTGGACCTTAGGGTTAAAAACTAGGCAATCTTGTGATGATAGGCTAAACATTAGCTACTCTGGGCTAATAAGGGCTAATGGGTCCCAACAATCAATTAGCTCTTATTAGCATAAACTTAGCCCTATGTTTAATCCTTCTTTTTAACATCCAAAAACATGGGCTAATTGTTAATCGTGCGGATCCAAATAGGTCCTTCTAGTTCAGTGTAAGGTTACAAATAGAGTCTGTCATGATTGGTTTACAAGTTGGTTTCTAGTCGGTTACTAGATCAAGTCGCTATGCATGTATATCATGCACGTCTTATTTGCCAAGTCGATGAGTTACCCCGATAAGTTTCACCCTTGGCCATGCCAATAAGCCTTGTCTACCCCCTCTCGTGGAGACATCTATGACCTCGGTGAGGATACCTGAGGCCCTTTGAAATCCCTAATTTAGTTTTGGATAATTGATGAAACATATGGACTAATCCTAAGTGCTAAGTGTGTATACAAGAGAGGATAGTCCATTCCAAGTGGTAGAGCAAGAGGATGATCATGGTGGATGGTGGTGACCAAAAGATGATCAAGTGCTCAACTTGGAGAAGAAGAAGAGAAAAACAAAACCCTATTGAGATCAAGGCAAATGTATTGGTTAGGGTTTTTGCTTTGGTGATCAAGACACTATAGAGAGTGCGATCACATTTAGGATCAATAGCCGTACTATAAAGAGGAGAAGTCTTTGGCTAAACGGTTTATCGAGTACTACTAGGTGACATGATTCTTGCATATGCATTTATAAACCTAGTGTGCTAACTTTGACCCTTGTAAAATGCTTTAAAAATGCTAACACACGTGCACACAAGTTCTATACTTTGTGGTTAACAAGTTGGAAGTAAGGGCGAAGTGGTTGTGGACTTAGAAAAAGAAAAGGAGGAGTCTGCACGCGACCAGACTCTGGCGCCGGGGTGATCGGACTCACCTCGGGCGCGTCCTGTCAATTATAGCGAGGAGGCGTTGCTCTGGCTGAGGGCGTGGGGGTCACGATCGAATGCTGGACCTGACGCGGGGTCACGTCCGGTCATGCTAACTAGAGGTGGCATAGCTCGGCTTGACAAACGGACGTAGGTGTGCGCGCGTGACCGGACATGCCGGGGGCACATCAGGTCAAGTGTTGACGTACGCTGGTGTCAGCTCGCAGGCGCGTGGAAAAGAGCGCTGACTAGACCGGACACAGGGGCGCATCAGGTCACCTTGGACCTGATGCATCCGATCGTTGTTTTTCAGCTCTGGAACTCTCTCTGTTGTTGATCGGGCGCCGCGCGGCCCGAGTCCGGTTAGTTTGAGGGTCGTGTCCGGTCATCACTTAATAGCGTTGGCTCTGAGTTTTGACCGTTAGGATCTGGCGGCTGAGGTTTGAAGGAAGAATGTGTGGCAGGCATCGGTGGACCAGATGCCAGCGACTAGACGCGGGTGTGCTTCCGGTCAGGCGAGTCGGGTCACGTCTGCGAGGGCCAATGGCTCTTTGAACTCTTGGGCTCTATTTAAAGGGGTTGGTCGGCTTGGGGCTCACTCTCTTGGCACTTTGACATACTTGATATCCTTGTGAGCCTATGCAAACACCTTTCACTCATCTTCATCATTGATTTATCATCATGGTGAGATTGGGAGTGATTCCAAGTGCATTTGCTTGAGTGATTGCATCTAGTGACACTTGGGGATTGTTGTGCTTGCAGATTTCTTGTCTCTCTAGGTGATTGCCGCCACCTAGACGGCTTGAAGCAGTGGAGGAGCTTCGGCATGTGTTGGTGATTGTGAGGGGTCTTGCACCTTCCTCGACGAAGAGCCGCAATGTAGCTCTAGTAAATTGCTCGTGTCATTGAGTTACATCACTTGTAGGTAGGTTCTTGTGATGGCCAATTGTTGAATGAGGTTCGTGCAACACCTCTTAGCCGTCGAACCACCAAGTGTTGGTCGACACAACGGGGACTAGCGTACCGGTAAGCACATGAACCTCAGGAGAAAAATCATGTGTGTATTCTTGTGATTGGATTTCTCCCGTTGATTGGTTGTCATCACATTGTAATTGGTTCATTCCTCTACGCGGTGGTATAATCACCCTACTCACTCCATTACTTTCTTGCAAACTAGCTATAGCAAGCTCTTTATTATAGCTAGAATTGAGAGCTTGCTTGGTAGCTTAGTTTCATCTAGTGGAGCTCTTTAGTGTAGCTTTGTTGAGAGCTCTTAGTGAGTAGTGACTTAGCTCTTGAGTGTGTCTAGTGATCATAGCAACTAGAATTGTTGGGATAAGTGGCTTGCAACCCTTGTAGAGCTAGAGCAAATTACATTACGTCGTTTGTTATACTAATTAATTGCTCTAGTGATCTTATAGAGTTTTTAATAGGCTATTCAACCCCCTCCAGCCATATTAGGACCTTTCACCCTTGTAGTCCACATGGTGATTTTT